GTCTTTGAATTCAGCTCTCTGTAGGTTAATATTTTTCATTTCCATCAAAGGATGCGGCATCCTTTTGTTCCTAACACATTACCCAGTCCATCTCAGTATAGATATCCAGCATGATATTTTTCCCCATTGAGATCTGATGTGTTTTCAAAGTGTTCCTTTAATTTTTTTGAGCAGTGTATTTTTCTTTTGGAAAAGTCATATTCATTTGAATGAAGTAAAAAATATGACATATTTAAGATTATACTGCAATTTAATTTAACACTTAAAAATGGTGCAATAGACTCTTTCACAATTACAAAAAGAGCATTTGTAATCTATACCCAGTTGAAAATTATCTAATGTGTCTTTCACAAGATATTATATTTAAAATGACTCTAGTATGATTAGTTATGACTAAGAATTTTCCAAAAAGATGTTCAAATAAAGATGAACAGGACTTTCAGAAAATGAATGCACAAATAGACACTCTTTCACAATTACAACAAGAGCATTTGTAATCTATATCCAGTTGAAAATTATCGAATGTGTCTTTCACAAGATATTATATTTGGAATGACTCTAGTATGATTAGTTATAATGACTGAGAATTTTCCAAAATGTTCCACACAAATGAGGGAAACATATTTACCCATAAAAAAAAAATGAGGAGGAGAAGAAATATTAGCAAAGAGAGATCTAACTGATTGATTCCTGCACTTTTCATTAATTAAATCAAATTGATCTAAAAACAGATATTTGGAGACCTTACAGTCTTACACCAAGTGCTCTGATTTCTGAGCAGAGAAAGTATTTTGACAGAGACAGAGTTCATAACTATACAATATTCTACAGCTGAAATATGACACTTAAATTTAAGTCATAGCTCATTAATACTCAAAAACCTTTATTCAACAGCTGACCGTCCCAAACCAATGTCTAAAAAGTATTTATTTATCGTTTGTGTGATATTTATTCCAATTAAAAAAGGAGAAAATTTGTTAAAAAAAAAAACAGCACGTTAAATGTGTTTTCCTGCAAACATCAGATCATTTAAGAGTATTTTGTTAACATCAACATTGCATCTAAGAAAAAGAAAACAGACACCAAGCTGTTTAAATAAATGATTAGAGAAAATATTCCACACAGAACTACTATTTTTAATAACCTGTTTTAACCCATTTATTTTAAAAGTGCTGTTTGTACTGTTGAGAAAGGGATGAAAATGAAGAGAAGCACAATATGATCTTTACAAAGTTTTCCTCCACGGTGTGTGACCTCCTCCTCAACAGATTCCTTCAGTTTCCTCAAAGTTAACACTCTTCAGTGAAAATCTCTCACATTTGATCATATTAAGATTCAGAGCAGATATCTCAGAAAAAATGCTTTAAAAAAAAACAGTGTGGTCATCGGTCAACTGACAAATTTTTGTTCATTTCCAAAAACAGTGATAGCTTGAAAGAAGCTCATATTTCCATAAGAAGGAAGCTGTGTGACGAGCAGATAAGCAGCGGAGAGATTGAACAGTCTTGTCTAAAGACCCTAGAAAGAAGAAAATCCACTGGAATTCATGAATCATTTTAGCGGAGCTACACTCTGTGCTCAGGGCTGGAACTGTCTTTCTAAATACTCCCTCCACATTCACATACTTCACACCACACTTCAGAGCTTCAAATCTGAATATTATACTATTTAAATCTTATTGTAATATTATGACCAAAAATATTATCTGTTCATTCATCAAAGATTGTCCTCATTTGTAAAACTAAAAGTAAAAATGTAGGAAATCAAACACTTGATGACAAACAAAACCTTAAAATACTAAAAGATATTAAATGATCATCACAGCCAGCAGAATAGTGAGCAGCAATCAGCATTATAACATTTAAACATATATTTGTCATTTTTTGTTCTTATGTAGAAAAAGTCACAAAGTCTCATGAAAACAAACTTTTCTTCAAATTGTGAATAAAATGACACAAACAGCGAGTAAAAGGCACAGCATTTATAAACACTGAAGCTGTCAGTCAGTTCAGCACAAACTCACTGTGTGTGAAAACTCCCGTTTTAATCAATTCATCTGTCAAAACTGCACAATCCATCTTTTATTTACTCTGTGTTTCTGCTTTGTTTGTTGTAATGAGAGGATTTGTGATTGTTAGCAACAGACAGACACAAAGACCACTTCAGATTATGATATACAGCATTTATCAGCTTCTGGTGATGGATCTCGATCTACATTCTAAGTTGGAACAGAAGAAAAGATAATCAAAGTTAAGTGGAACAAAGTACAAATAACACTCAGTCATACGGTATTTGAGTCCGGCGTTTCTTTCACTTCTCTCGTATCACACCACCGCGCTCTCACTCGTTTCATTCAAACACAACTGCTATTAGCTTGTGCCTCAGTTACTGACTGTATTTACCCTCAAACCAAACCGCAGGAGATTCCTGTTAATAGTAGGCTTGCGGAGACATTGTTAAAAGTGTGTCTTGTTGTTAAAGTTGTTGCTAACTGACGAGAAGTGTTTAGCTGAATCTAAATTCTCCTCCTTTACCCTCATTCACTATTCCCTCTTACAAACAAATCATTAAGGTGAAGAATCTTTCACAAATATAATGTGAACTCAGAGTCATCATGAGATATTGAGTATAAAGTGTTTTGGTTTAAACTGTTGCAGTGATTTTCATCATTTTGATACTTGTCTGTGAATGTTACTGACCTCAATCTCTCCAGTTTACAGTGTGACTCCTTCAGTACGTCACATAAGTGATTCACTCCTGTGTTTTTTATCTGATTCCAGCTCAGCTCCAGTTCTCTCAGGTGTGATGGGTTTGATTTCAGAGCTGAAGTCAGAGCAGAACAATCTTCATCTGTCATATCACAGTATCTTAACCTACATTGGCAGAAAGAGAGAGAGCAGAAAATAAAACAGAAGAAAACAAATCACATAATCATGACAAGCAAATATAAACAGACAGAGGAAGAGAGATCATAATGTTTATTTCACCAGATCACAAAACTTTGTACAAATATAATGCGAACTCAGAGTCAGCATGAGATATTGACAGGGGCGTAGATTACGCGGGGGACGTGCCCCCCCCCCCCCACTTTTAATATCACGGAAATTCGTCCTCCGCACTTTTTCGGGCAAGTGTGTTCACATAGAGGTTTTCAAGAGCCGGTGTGAATAAATATAGATTTAAATTCAAAGAGACAGATGAGTCTGTGCATGATCTGATGTTTTATTCCCAGAATAAGGCGAGATGAACATCGCTGAGCACTAAACACAATATATGGTTTATTTGTGTTTTTCAAATCATCTCCAGGTAATAAATAAAGTATATGAACAATGCAGTCATAATTGACATAGCATTTATTACAGTATAAAAACTATACTGCCGCCTTATGTGATTTAAAAAAAAATATTATTTTTGGTTATTGTCCAGCAGTTATCTGATTTCTAAGCCAATTAAAAGCTAGAAATTAGAGAAAATTTTAAGTTGCCTATACACTACAAGTCAAAAGTTTTTGAACAGTAAGGTTGTTAATGTTTTTTAAAGAAGTCTCATCTGTTCACCAAGCCTGCATTTAATTGATCCAAAGTACAGCAAAACAGTTATATTTTATTACAGTAAAATTTTGAAATATTTTTACAAGGCTATTTAAAATAACTGTTTTCTATTTGAATATATTTTAAAATGTAATTTATAGTGATTTCAAAGCTAAATTTTTAGCATCATTACTCCAGTCACATGATCCTTCAGAAATCATTCTGATATTCTGATTTGCTGCTCAAAAAACATTTATTATTATTGTTGAAAACAGCTGAGTATAATTTTTTTCAGGTTTCTTTGATGAATAGAAAGTTGAGAAGAGCAGCATTTATCTGAAATAGAAATATTTTGTAACATTATAAATGTCTTTATCATCATTTTTGATCAATTTAAAGCATCCTTGCTAAATAAAAGTATTAATTTCTATAATTTTTTTTTCCAAAAAATAAAAATTATACTGACTCTAAGCTTTTGAATGGTATAGTGTATAATGTTACAAAAGCTTTTTATTTCACATAAATGCTGATCTTTGGATCCTTCTATTCATCAAAGAATCCTGAAAAAAACTAATTCAACGGTTTTAAATATTGATACAAATTAATAATTAAAAAAGTTTTCTTAAGTAGCAAATCAGCATATTAGAATGATTTCTGAAGGATCATGTGACACTGAAGACTGGAGTAAGTATGCTGAAAATTCAGGTTTGAGCACAGAAATCATTTACATTTTAAAATATATTCAAATAGAAAGCAGTTATTTTACATAGTAAACATATTTCACAACATTACTGCTTTTGCTGTCCTTTGGATCAAATAAATGCAGGCTTGGTGAGCAGAAGAGACTTCTTTATAAAACATTAAAAATCTTACTGTTCAAAAACTGTTGACTGGACTGAAGACAGAAAGAGAAAACACAATGAATCAGATCCATGTTAAGTTTATGTTTGAATAAATACAAGTAAATGCCAAACAGTCAAAAAAAAGATTAATTACGCTTATTTAATTTTACTAAAGAATTGTTTTTACAATTTAACTTATTTCCTTCAAATTAAAATTGCTTAGTTGGGTCAACACAATTGATCTGGTTTACATCTGGTTTGGGTTAGCTTTAGTACATTTGTCAAACAAATTTTTTATGGGAACAAATGATTATTTATTTATTTTCTGAGGTCTAATTATTATTATTATTATTATAATTATTAAACAAGCAGTTTCACTCATAATTATACACAATAATGAACAAATAGGAAAAAACTGGTGTCAGTACTGATATTAGAATAGCTATTTCTGTGTCACAGTCTAAAAACAAACACCACTCTTCTGCATAATGATAACCACAAAATTCACAAACATTACAGAAACTGTCCAACATAACGTCTCAGGTTACATATGTAACCATGGTTCCCTGAGTAGGGAACGAGACACTGCGTCCGCTATGGGGGTCGCTATGGGGAACGCCTCGCCATGACCCGTGTCTGAAGCATACACTGAAAAAACACCAACAACACGGGAGCACACATCATCCACGTCTTTGTCTGAAGCTTGCGTCCGAAGCAAGACAAGAAAGCTAGAGGACACAGTGTCTCGTTCCCTACTCAGGGAACCATGGTTACATA